ATTCTTTTTGTTGATGTATACCCTCCTCCGGATGTAACACCACCAAAGGAATAACATCAGCCTGTTTTTGAACCTTTTTTATGGGCCTGTTCTTTGGAGGTGATTCGGTGAAAACAACCTCAATATCATCATCACTTTTGTTCTCCTCTTCCACCTCCTTAACACAATCAATTATTTCACTATCACTCTCTCCAACATTAGACCCATCTTGAGATATGATATCATCATCTTTCCTAAATCGTTGTTTCCATGCAAAAATTTCCTTAAGGCTAAGAGGTATGGTCACCACTAACCCATTAGAAAAGTGTTGTCACATATGCATCACGTTAACTCCGCTGCCTCTTCACTACCAAACCACTAGCATTTGAAAATGGTCACCACTCCACAAACATTCTTCTTTATTCATGTAACCAATGAAAATAAAGATTTTTTTTTATTCTAACCTTCAAAAAAGAAACGATCAAAAAAATTTAGCCAATCAAATCTCTCGTCTTCGTCCGTATCCGGTATCACTCCACAGCCAACCCACCGGCCTCTGGAGAGGTGTTCACTAGTTGGTTAGTGTGCCACATAGGAACTTCACACGTGGCTTACCCCTCCATACCGGTTAGCCTAACTGTAAAAAACTCCTTATTATTGACAATAACAATAGTTTTCTCCTTAATCTTAGCAAAAGAATGTGTGCTTATACAAACTCTTCTTGTATCTCCATCTACAAATAACACTCGATCCCAAAAGCTCGGTACTTTCTGAAATGTTTTTGAAGACCACACCTACAAATAACACCCGACCCCAAAAGCTTGGTACTTTCTGAAATGCTTTTGAAGACCACATCGGTAATCATTGTAGCTCAATCCACACCAATACATTATGGATGACAAAAGAACCATCTAACGTAATTAAAGTTTTGAAAGGTAGCAACATAGTTTATTATAAAATATCTTTATGTCAAATAGTGATATTTCGCAACATAAATTTTATTTATGTAATGATTTCTATTACATTTTTTTTGTATTATTAATTAGAAAGTTAAATCATTTTATTATATAAAACCCATAATAGTATCCTCAAATATGAGTTATTATATATAACATAAAAGCTTAAAAAGTTGGGGAACATGAAACTTTTTTCTCTTTCTTCTTCTTCTACTCAAGTTTTCGTTTTCATAAAACCGCCCCAGCTCTTCTCTTTTTTTTTCCTTTGCATCTTATCCGTTTTCCCAATCATATTAGGATGAGTTACAGGGTTAAACCGACCATCACCGCACCGCCCCTATAATCCAATTACATGTTGCACCGCTGTATCATCGAACTGGTATGTATTCGCCGCCTTCGTTTTATCTCCTCCCAATTTCATCTGTACCTGAAACTTCACCCACAAACTCCAGGTATTTCTTACGTCTTTTTTTTCCTTCTTCCTCTTAGTCGGGGGTGGCTTTTCTTCTCATTTCTCTTATCTATTTCAATGTTTTTCTCTCTATGCAAAGCCTTCAATCCCATCATCGTTTTCAGGCACAGAACGACATCCAACATCTCTCATCGTTTTGAAATCAAGCAGATTTAGCACAACCGACCGACGGTGAGTTCTCTTCGAGGACGATTTATACCCTGCTCATGTCTCTTAATTCCCCTGTGTTGTTGTGTGGACAGGACAACAAAAAAGGTCGACAGCAGCTGTCGATGGAGATGGTGCTGACCACCGAAGAGCGCAACGGTGGCGTCCAGTCGGAGATGCCGACTCTAATCTCAACCTTCTTCGGTAGGTTTAGGATCGAAGTCATCAGAAATTGAAGATATTGTGAAGGTGGTCTGGTCTGTGAAGTTTTTAATCTAAAAATTGTGTTGTTCGTGGCTTTCTAATTTTTGAACCTGAAAATAGAGAATTTCGTCTTATGGTCATAGGTGATTCCATGAAGAGGGTTTTTAGTTTGGGTTACTTTTGATTTTGCAAATTGTTTGGGGTTTCTATCTCGATGGTCAGTTTCATTTTTTCTTATATTTCCTTCATACAAGCTGTCTAATTTGAGTCTGAGGTGTGATTTGATGATTGGTTTCAATTGGTGATCTGTTTGCTCATGTTAGAAAGAAGCAGCCTTGGGCAGATCCAAACATTGTTAAGGTAAATAAGTTAAAATAACTCACTTTTCTTCTTTTATCCATCTTTTTTATTATAAATTGATTATTATCCTTCATGTTTCTTCCACCAGAGCCTTATACATGCAAAGGTATATGCTTTAGTTGGTGAAAAAACTGCAGCAGATAATGAGAAGGCTGTAAAACAGAAGAAAGAGAAGCCTGTTAAAGTAGAGGTGCGTATTATACTAAAAAAACATAATAGAAAGGCTTGTGGATGCTACCTCTTTACTCTCAGTTTTCTATTTCAACAACTGGATGTCTCAACTAAAAAACTTACTAATAATGATTTTTCTTTTTTCTTTTCTTTTTTCTAATCTTCATCCGTCATCTTAGTGTAACCAGCACCACATACACCAAAACTATACAGATCTAACAAAAATTTTTAAAATAAATTTCTAGCATGGAAGAGATTGTAGACGCTTCCGTGGTTCGCGAGAAGGAAAAAGGACTCATCCTTTGTTACATCTGGCGTGAGATGATAAAGATAGAGCTTCGTGGACGTTTCGGTTCTTTCCGTTCTTCCAGTTTTAGTCACCAATGGTTGGGTATCAGATGACTTATGTAATGTATTTGTGCAACAATTGAAATAATATTTATCAACCATATATCAATAGTATCCATAAATGAATGATTGTCATTTGAAATTTATTGGTTGATGTCATGATTGTTACAGTTTGTTGGGAATGTCCAAGGATCCGTTCATAATGTTTTCGCATATATAGAACTTACCAGGTTAATAGTTAACTGACATTGGTTTTTATATGTTTTATTATTGGATTTTACTTGCATTGATTTGGGACTGACACTGACTTGTGGATGCAGGTTACAGTAATTGTGGGAAATATCGAGCTACACAGTGACCTTAATCTTCATTTTCCAGACCAGGTATTCTCATGATTTCATAATTACATCATCTGTTTTTTTATTATAATTTTTATTAAAGTTGAATGTAAGTCTTAGTGTTTACCTGCTTTTAGGTGAAGGAAGATGGGGTTTTTTTCCAGCAGACCTATTGGTATTTGCATCTACAAATCCAGCTGGCATTTTATATATGGTGAAAGCTTCTGAATTCAAAGGTATATGTTGTATTCAGATGGGGTTGTCCCTCAATATTGTTGTTAAATGGAACGTCGTGGCAGTGTGTTCTAAATCTTCATAACACTATTACTATCAAACAAATTTATGTAAATTCAGAATTTATTTAATTTGTAATTTTGTATTAACCTGTTCAAACTTTCTACAAAACAGAAAAGAGCGAAAATAGATGACCACATGGAGGATTCACCCGCTAGAAATCATTATAAAGAACAAGTAATTGTATTGGACAGAAGGTATTCAGAGATTAAATGTGGAAACTTTTGATTGGGAAATCTGGATTAAGAAGTATTAACATTTTTCTTACCCTTCTTCGTTTACTTAAACCATTTATTTATTATTTTTTTAAATTTACATGATGTTATGGAATTTTAGGGATCTTGAATTGCATTACATGCCAACAAATGATCTAAGTGGTTGGAAGAACCATGTACCTTCCATAATATTTTTGAGGATTTAATGCGAAGGTAAAAAATCTCTTATTATTATTACTATTTTGGATAGACAGATAGTTGTTTCGATCAACAAAGGAAGAGAACTATTAGAACTTTTTTTTATTATAACCTATTGCATTTCAAATAAAGGGTAGACATGTCATTTATGCTATTGCTCATAGCAGCATAGACATGGATGTTGGAAAACAGCTTTGACGTGAAGAGACTTGGAGCCAACAACTAATTACATGAAGAATTTTGAAGTAAGGGATCAGGTTGCTATTCTTTGTATAATGATTGCATTTTTAAATGTGTAAAAAACAATCGTTTTCCCTGTTACTAACTCTTCCAGTTGGTTCTGATGTAGGTGGTTTCATGCCAAAGAAAAAGGTTACTTTACGTTACAAAATTAGGGTTTTTTTTAATAAATATTTAACAATTTTTTTTGGGAAATCGGCACACCATAGAAAATTATAAAGGCACCATTTTTGATATGGTTGAATTTGTACTGCTCTGACAAGCTATAACGAACACATGGTTTTAATTTACAAATCCTTTGTATTTACCTTTAATATGGGTTCGATGAGTCATTACATCATAGACTTCTAAGCGACTCCTCCACTAATGTTTACAGGTTTTGTGACATGCTATTATCACCGCTGCCAACTCAACAGTTTGCTTACCTTTACAACATTGTACTTTGGAAGACCTCCAACGAATTGTAGTAATGAATTTTTTTTTTGTTTTTTTGCATTTATTTCTTTAACCTTCATATAATTGGGTAGATCTATTAAAATAAAATAGGATCTAATACTAAGCAAATTTGCATTCGACTCTGTATATCCACATTTAATAAAATCATGTATTTTGTCGTTTAGGTATGACAATGAAGAACCGAACAAACTGCAACAATATTTCTGCTGTTGCTATATGCATTTCGTAAGTATGCCATGGGTTAGATGATGTTGGAATGTGGTAAGGAAATGCAAACCCTTTCAATATTTTCAATAATCTTTGTTTTTTTTTTTTCAAGATTTTCATAAAAAAACTCATTTCTCAAAGTGATAAGAAAAAAAACTCTGCCGGTATGATTCAAAAATAAACAACCCAACAAAATCACATTGTTATATATCATGTATTTATGAACCAGTTTAGCCCGATCCTAATATCATATTTCAATACAGTACCAAAAAAAATTCTTAATTTCCTTATTTTAATACAATTGTTTATTACCGGTTCGTTGTCCACCTCCCCTTTGATTTTTTTTTTCCCGTTTTTTTATTGCGGGAAACAGCAACGTACTTAACCTCTATGCTTTAATTTTTACCCATAATAGCAAGTTACTTGGAATTTTCTATTGGTTATAGAAAATTTTAACCTTTTGGTTTTCTCTTCGTTATGTCGCATGAGATCAAATGATCAATGTTTGTATGCAAAAGATTGGATGTGTGCAAGGAGGCTGAAGACAAGTTATTGTTGGAGAATATTGTAATGGTCACTTCCATTTAAAGTTCATTGCTTGCAATGGTTCAGAAGTTAATAATAGCATGTGTTGTTTCTTCTGTTATCGCTTCAATAAACTACCTATTATGACTTTTTGTTGTAGAGCACTCTAAAGACTAAAGATTATGCGACTCCTTGGATGATATTCGATTTTTAATCCGGTATCAATTTTTGATTTCCAGTTTAATGATACGTAGTTGGTTATTCATTAATTGTGTGTGTTTTTTTTACTTCAACGCTCAAATTTGGATGAAATCAGTAAGTTTCAATTGTTGGAGACAATACATAATCTACAAACCCAAGATGCTAATGAGGTGGAAAACATAATTGTTGGAGTCAGTTTCAATTGTTGGGACAAAACTTCATGCTGCAGAAGGATCATCTTGCTAACAAATGAAGGATGTTATTTCTCTCTTTCGTGACATGATTTTTTGCTTCTCAGGGTAAAGCATCTTTGCAAAAAATATAATTATTATAGCATTTAATATTCTCTTGGTGTAAATTTTATTTGTCTTTTAGATAGATTCTGAAATGATAATTGAAAATCCGGACAAGTAATAAACAAACGAATGGACAACTCCCCAATAGACGCTTAAAGCTACAGGGCATAACAAAAAATCATAATAAATGTCATTCTCTCTTAACTAGTGAACATTATAGAAATTTTGTCACTTCGAATTACATATACAACCTGAAAGAAGAACAAATAAAATGACTCAGCGCCAACGGGCGCGCATGATTCCCATCTAGTTTCTATTAACGGGGTGTTTGGTTTTGTGTTTTAAAATAATTTCTTTTAATGAATATACTTGTTAACTTATATGGTAACACAATAAACTTTTTTTACAAAAATATTAGAATTAGTTTATTTGATACAAAAAGCTATAAGTGATAAGTATTTTTTTTTCAATTTTTTGTTAAAACTAATTATAGTTGTAAAATTACCCATAAAAAAGGGAAAAGAAAATATGGGCTTCATTTGTTATTCTATTTTTATATCAAAAAGTTAAAAGTTATAAAAGGTTTCAAAATTAATTAAAAGAAAAAAGAAGCAACTTCTTGGAAAATCTACAGGTGATAAAAAAAATATCTTAAAAAAACTATTAACTTCTTGGAAAATCTACAGGTGATAAAAAAATATCTTAAAAAAACTATTACCATTATCCAATGTTTAATTCTTTATTGACTTCTTTTAAACACAAAACCAAACATCCCTAAAAACAATTTCTTAAAAGATTTCTCATAAAAATTGACATATAATCCCCGAGAGGGCTTAAAAACCATCACAAATCCCTTTACATTTTCCTTCCCTTATCAGTCTCTCTCTATGGACCCTATGACGGATATACCGCCGATGACCACCCACCTCGCCGATCACGTCTCAGACCCTCCTCCGACGCTGCGTCCTACCCAAACCCACCCTCCTTACACCGAGGTAACAATTCTCTCTCTCTCTCTCTCTCTCTCTCTCTGATGCATCTTCTTGAACAGTTGCTTAAACTATTTTATGAATTTCTTTCGTTTTTAACAGATGATAACAGAGGCAATTACTGCTCTAAAAGATAAAGATGGATCTAGTAAACAAGCGATATCTAAATACATAGAGAAAGAGTACAAGAACTTACCTCCAACTCACTCAATCCTGTTGACTCACCATCTGAAACGTTTGAGGAACGAGGGTCAGCTCATAATGGTCAAATACTCTTACATGTTTCCTCCCAGATCTGATCAATTTCAACCTCCTACATCCACCGATTATCATTCAACATTCGGTTATACTGAAACTGGTGATGCTAATCATGCTACTGATGTAAATGCTCCTACAATTTCACCTCCTGGTTCAACGAAAAGGAAAGTCGGTCGTCCTCCCAAAAATAGATCTGATTCGGGAATAGGGGTACAAACTCAGATGCCGAATGTACAACCATATGATGCAGCTCCTCCTCCTCTGTCTTATCAACCTCAATATCAATACGATGTCGGTGTCGGCGAAGATCTTCCCGTTAACCATGGCTCCGGTTCGGATTTTCAAGGGAATGCTAATGCTACAGCGGGGTCGGAGCCTCTTTTTGCTTCACTAGGATTGGGCGACGACGGTGGTGCAGTTCCATCGGTACCACCGCCACCACCGACTGAAAACACAGCGGCTAAAAAGGGGCGTGGTCGTCCGCCGAAAGTGAAGAAGGGCGTTGGTAGACCGAGAAGGATTGGAATAGGGCCGGTGACTGTGCCGTTGTCTGGAAATGTGTTGGCGCCAAGAAGAAGGCCGAAGAGGGCTGGAAGACTAAATGTGGGTGGTGTTAACGGTGGTGTTGTTGAGAGTAGAAGATCTGGTCGGCCTTATGTCAGTAGGTTTGGAAGATTGACCGGAAAACCTCTCAACAAGCCTAGCAATGTAATTGATTTTCCATTTTCATCTCCATGATTCCTTCTTGTTCTTTTTTTTTGTTCTGTTTCTGATTGAATACTTGGTTGTGATGTGGCTTCTGGAGTGCAGGTTGGACGTGGAACGGCGGTGATAGTGACGGATCCACGACAGCTTGTGGTTTATCAAGAATTGAAGACTAAATACGAGCTTCTAGTAAGTCACAAAGTTGAACACAAAATTATTTCTCAATGTACACTAACTAAAATAGCTTATAAGGTCGTTTATAAAAAAAAAAAATAAGCCAGCCTCTTTGACTAGTTTTGAAGAAAAGTAAAAAAAAAAAAAAAAAATACAGAAACTCACAAAGTTGCTTCACACACATTTTATCAATTTTAGCCATATAGTTATTGTTTTTTGTGATTATTATAATAGTAGTTATGTGGCTAAATTGATTAAAAAAAATAGTATTTTAGCAGTGAAATTGATGAAATGGGTAAAGTAGGCTGTTATTTTTTGTATAATGCATTGATATTGATATCAAAACTATTGTAATTGGGAAAAATGTTTATTTTCTAATGGTAAAGAAAAGTATAATGGATTAGTGACTTCATTAAATAGTTACGGGATTAAATCAATAAAATTCTGAAAGTCCCAAGTGTTTTTTTCTATATTTGGACCTATTAATTAAATATGATTACAAACAATTATCACCAAAAATAACAAGGCCAAATTCTCTAACAATGGTTTCTTTGAAAAAAAAAAAATACAAACTCTCAAGTGTTTACAATAGAAAAAGTTGTCAAAGTCGAGTGTGACTTTAATGAAATTTCCGTACTAAACTTTAACACTTTAATGAAAAAGTTATCAAAATTTCCCATTTATTTATTTATTTATTTATGCATTTTTCATGTACTTACCTTGAACCAAACCATTATCAGCAATCGAAAGTGAAGCAATTCGCAATTGCGGTCAAGCCATGCATCGATCCCAACTACGGGTCCGTTGCATTACAAGCATTGCAAGAGCTCGAAGCTCTAGCCGGGGCAGATACCAATGCACCATCACATGTTCAAACCCCAGAACCGGAACCAGTACCACAACCAGTACCTTTTTAGCAACATCTTTGGGCTTGTAATTTTATGAATGTAGTACTAGTAGTAGTAGTAGTGATGTTTACTGACACCTGTTTGTTAGGATCTCTGTTGTATAAATGTTGTAGGGCGTTGAATGGCTTGTTGACATGTGTTTGTTGAGCCATGGAAAGAGAGAGAGGATATGACATGTAGTTGTTGAAGTTTAATAATGAGCCAGGAAACATGTGTTATGTGTTATGTAATGTAATGTATGAAACTATTTAAATGTTTGTTTTAGCAATAAATGTTTGTTGGAGGGGTGATATGGTGGTGTTTGTATCGATGAAGAGATGTGGTGTTTTATAAAAAGTAAAAACATTAGGTAAATTTGATTCAACATGGCATTAGTATTGATTAATGTTATTTTAATTTGTTGATCGTTATTATTGAATGGTTGATATGGATTTTGTTTTATATCTGGCCATAAATTAAGTTCAAAATTTTCTTAAGGTGTTGGAAATGTACAAAATTATATGTTTTGATCTATTATACAACCAGTTTAATCGGTCTTATAATACTAGCTTTATTAGTATTTAAAGTTACAAAAATTCAATTTGTTCCTTAATCTTATTTATATTAGTGGTAGTTTTGCCTATCAAAGTAGTTGGATGAAATGATTTTATTAAAAAAAAAATCCGGTTATAACATGTCAAAAGCCTGGTTAGGCCCTCTGCCTTGTCAAAAGCATGCCGGAATGATTTCTGTATACTATTTAATTCTTTTGTTAGCTAAATTATTTATATATGTAATGTAAACCAAATTGCTTATTTATGTTTTATGTTTTGTGAACTAATTTGAGGTATCTTATTAAAAAATACATTTTTATTCTTTGAAGAATAAAATCATTAAAATATAATTTAAAGTTTAAAATACAAGATCATAAATAACAATGAATATAGCACAAGTCATTAAGTTTATACTAAAATTCTAATTTGATACTGATTTTTTTGCCTCAAATTTGACACTGTTTATTACAATTCTGACCACTTGACCAATCAAACCAGATGTATGTTGGCATCGATTTTGATGACGTGACATGCTGATATGAAGTGTTATGTCATCAAAACTAAACAATTATTGGAAAAATGATGATCAATTTGGAACAAAAAAAAAAAAACCAAGTGTCAAAAAAGTAAAAACTTGGTGTCATAATTGAAAAAAAAAGACCAAAAATATGGAGTTTTGGTTGGCCACAACGTGGTGGGGGAAGACACCACTGCGGGGCCTCACCCATAGGAAACGCGCCTTCATTTTGAGTGCCACGACGTAACAGGGTATTGGACATGGTGTGGCGGCTGTCTGCATGCAAAACCCTAAGATCCGAGATTAGTGCCCTTATTTAAGGGATGTGATGGCTAGGGTTTACACACCCACAACCTCCATCATCTCCCTTTCATCCCAAGCAAACCCTAGTCTCCATTTTTGTATTCTTGAAGCTTTTGCGGTGATTTTTGGTGCCTTAAAGGAGAAGAAGGTGTACATTGAGTATTGATCCAACAAGCAAGCTCCTCCTCCACATTCTAGAACATATCCTGGACCATTGTGAGTCTTTAAGTTCCAATATTTATGTGTTATGCTTCTATAGCAAGGTTTTATGCATTGTTCTTCATGTTTGGGTTAGTTTGTATGGTTGGATTTCCTAAAGTTGGCAAGTTTATGGATCTTTGAAGTACTTTTGAAGTTTAGTGTTCCAAATCTGAATAATGAATGAGTTTTGGTTCCATGCATGGGGTTTTGACCTCATCCCCCCCCCCCCCCCTTTTTGACCTAACCAAGTTCAATATATGCATTAGACATGCATGTCCATAATGCAAGGGTTTTTTATGAAGCTAATAGATGTTACGAAGCTTTTTGCAAGAGATGAGAGTGTGGCTTAATGGATTAAGGGTTTAATCCATTAAGTGGTCCAAAAGTAGTTCCTACGATGTGGCATCTTGCTCACCGTGTCGTGGAGGAAGAGTTCTTTGTGACTGATTGTTTGGGTTGCTTTCACAGCGTGGTGGCATGCTTGCCACGACGTGACGGCTGGTCTACTTGCGATTGTTTCGTCGTGAAGCTGTCACGACATGGCCTGTGGGTGGCCATGACGTGGTGGCTAGCTGTTGACTTTGACCATTGACTTTTGACCAAGTTTGACTTTAGGTTAACTTGAGGGTTTTGTGTTGTAGATTAAGGATCCGGTGCTTGGATGTTGTATATGTGACTCACAATACGAGTTCTTGGATTCTTATGAGCTGTGTTGTTTATTTGCTAAACTGCGAGGTGATTTTCTCACTATACTTTGTACTGCAGTATGTATCATTGTGTGTAGGATGTTGTTATGTTGTAGTGATCTGTTAGACTGGTAGATATGCTATGATTTCCTGTATTTTCTTGCTATTGTTTATGTCCATATGTCAACATATTGTGGTTGGGTTGAAGTGGTCATGTTTTGTGTTGTAGGCCAAGATACCCGGGCGGTCCAGATGTACTGTAGGCCTTACGAGGAGGTCCAATCAGATTGTGGGCCCAAGGGAGTGATCCTGTAACACCGGTTCCCAGGTAATTTTCTTCAAGTTTTAAATATTTTGTTATTTTGCATGAAAGGCCATTACGTTGGGCGTAATTGAGGGTTATGTGGGGCGTAACTATTGAAGACTTGGACACGAGGTTTCTTTTGAGTATGTTGGGTATACCTAGAGTATGTTGGGCGTACTCGTGGCAGAGGAAAACCCTAATTTTAGGGTCTTGGTCCCTATTTAAAGACCTTAACCCCTTGGAAACCCTTCTTATCTTCAGCCTCCATCCTCTAAACCAGTCCCCTTGAAACCCTAGCCCCATTTGTGAGATTCTTGATTTTTTGAGTGATTTGGAGTGTTTTTGGTGCATATTGAAGAAGAAGGAGCTCATTAGAGAACTGTTGGTTGGCTTGGAGCTTTTAGACTCATAATTATCCAGGAGATATTAGGAACACCCGTTTCACAAATAACATCATTCAACAAGTAAGACCCAGCTGGTCAACATGCATACACTACTACATAAGTAATACAGTGAAAAGACTCACCTTGCATATAACAGCTAGACACAACAACTCACACACAGAGTAGACAGGTACAACGAGTCACCTAACAACAATAAAGAAATACCCCTTCCAGTATATACTCTAAAACCTAATTCTGACCAAAAGTCAACCAATGTCAACGTCAACATTCATCCTCCTACGCCCTGCATACAAGCTGCTCTACGCATGACGTAGAGCTCTAGATAGAGACGGGCCAAAACTAAGCTAAGATCAGTGTAGGGGATTTACGCCTCGCATAATAGCCTGATTGCCAAAAATTCCATTAAGCTCTTAATACAAAAAGTTAGCTCCTCAAACTTCCAGATATGAACCAACGGATCTAATGGATAAAGTCTTTGACTTTATCCATTTGCGTTCCATCAATGAGCAATAAAACCAAACCTGAAGTCCGTGAAGTACACTAATGCTAAATGTCTCATGCATGGGATAGATGAGAGTGATCAAGCTCTTATTTTTATGATTCAACAACCCTAAGAACATTAGGAAATGGTCTTCAAATGGTATAGAGTAAATCATACTCATAAGAACCAAAGTTATAGGACAAAAAGCATATAAACCCATGACTAACTAGATCTAGCATGAAAGAATACCAATATGAGAACTTTATACCTTCTAGATGTGGACAACAAGATGAAGGATCTGGATCTACAAGGCTTGGAGCTCCTAAATGCTTTTCCAATGATCTTCTCATTTAAGGATACACATAAGAACACTCTAAGACCTCAAATCTCTCACAAAGCAACTAGTATTTCGAAAGGACTAGACAAGAAGGGTGGAGGTTGGGCATGAAGAGGCCCTCTAGGAGTTAGAGCCTTTAAATAGGCTCACAACCATAGGAATTAGGGTTTTGGTACTACGCACCTACGCCCAACATAGGTCATTAAGTCCCTACATGCATTCTTCCTCCTACACTTAACGTAAGTAGCTATCCTACACCCAATGTAGGACGTATAAATGTCATAAAAGACCAATTTAACCTTGAAAACTCATACATGTGGATACGGGTACGGGTGTTACAAACACTATCTTTTTATGGCGAGATTATGCTAATAAGGCTTACAATTAACATTCTTTGGTCTCTTGTATCAATAATAGAAAATTGATCGTCAATGTGTAGTCCACCTTTCTAGTTGCCAAGAACCACCATGCTACCACTACTATCGCTAAATAACATATATTCCACAACAAAATTTTCCTGCAAGCTCAAAGGCCTCTTGCACTGTAACGCCTGCAGATTCGGGATAGTCAATTTAGAGACAATGAGCATCAAAAATGAGTTTTTTATGGAAGATTATTTAGAAGGAGTAATCTTAACCAAGTTTTAAAATATTTCACAAGGGTTCCGTACATATAAAGAACGCCGAAATCCGAGTTATAATGAAAAAGTTATGGCTCGTCGAAGTTTCGCGACAAAACCGTCACGACACTGCGCGACGTAAATAGTGAATTTACGGTAGATGACTTTTTAGCCTTAGAAATCTAAACAAAATTTATAATATATGTTAAACCGAGAGTGTGCATAAAAAGAACGCCCAAATCTGACTTCGTATGAAGAAGTTATGATTTTTCTAAGATTTGGCTTAGCAGTGCATAGCCCGAAACTCGAATTTTAGATCGAGCGGTTTTTGGCCAATGCGACCTAAATGAGAATTGAATATCTCATTAATAGGAACTCAATGACAAAAAGACAGACGAAAACAGAGTCCGTATGTAGAAGTTATGAATTTTACGCGGTCATTTAACAGTATAATCTCCTCATACTGTTAAATTTAAAATAGGTCGGGAATTAGCCGATGGATTCAAAAGGAAATTTGTAGATCTTATTTTTACCTACACGTTCATATAAAGAACGTCGAAAACGGAGCTCGTATGCGAAAGTTATGAATTTTTGAAAATTGGTTGTTTTACCCCCTGTGTCCGATGCCACGTGTCAGCACTAGGCTTTGCCTTGATGCCCAAGCCAGCTCACGGAGTGAGCACTAATGTCTCACGACATGAGAGGCCTCTAGGCAGCCTATAAATAAGGTCGCACCTCTCATTCATTCCTCACACCTTACCCTTTCTTCCTTCACTCTAAACACTCTCTAATACCCCCTAACCCCCCCCCCCCCCCCCCCAAAAAAAAAAAGCCTATGGAACCTCCCTAGCACGAGGCGGAAGCCCCGGAGCTCCCGACGGCTCCGAGAAGAAGAACTTTCGGCTCAGAAGTTCTGCCCCCACAGAGCCCGGTTTCC